GATGAATTTCTAGAAAATACAAATTTATTACAAAGAAAGTGAGAACATTTTCAAAAGCACAAATCTTTTACAAAGTAGCAATAAATTATTAAACATGAACACCACAAGCAAGCCAAAGAGAACACACTAAAATTACATGAAACCCTTGAAAAACACGATTGCCACTACATTGTGTCACACTGCGACACCCATTATTGACGCAATGAGAAACAATTCTAATGTGCAGACTCAATTTTGCTGAGCAGAATGAGGAAGCTCAGGAAGTCCACCTTAACACACTTCCTCTTGTTGGCAATATGAAGAAAACAACTTTATTCTGCTATCCCTGAAAAGCATGACAGAGAAACAAAATTGAATGTATCAAAAGTCGTAGCATCGTGACAGTAATCATTAATGAATGCTACCAATGTAAACTCGTACAGATACATGAAACGTTAATAAACATAGTCGATATCTATACCAATATAAAAATATTCGGGATACATACTCGTGCAAAATAATCCTTACATCATGAATTAAGATTGACTTAGGTTCAAAAACTCTTGTACCATGTTTTATATTTGGTAAACTTGGTTGGATATAACAACTAACAAAATAATTGGCACCATCTCCCTCAATTAAGGTTTGAGTTTGAGTTTGAGTTATGAATTTGAATGCAAGAATATTTTGGATTATTTTAAATTCACATCTAAACAATATTGTACTGAAAAAAACAAATATTTCAATAATTTATTTCAAGGAAGGAAGGAAGAAACAGTATAGACCATAATAAGAACTAGAAAAAGCACACTAACCTCTTCGATACAAGTCTGGCTTCACGGTTCCTCGAGTATTTTATGTAGTCTGTCGGGAACATTTAGTAATATAGAGTAGCACACAAACTTGTAAAGCTTTGGCATCCCTGTTTGATCCACAATCAAATCCGGAACTTTTCCAAATCCCTTAAAAATTGCCAACACTTGAAGCTCTGGAAAGCTGTTTTCTCCTGAGAAATTGATGTAATATCCTTGGAGGAAGGCTCCCTTGGGGCCAGGAGTATAAAGGGTGCACAGACCCTGGTCAATTTGGGCATATCCCGCGATTAACCTCCACCCATCACTGAGGGGCCGGGGATGGGTGGTCCAGGACATAGTCTAGTGTAAGTTAGGATACCTGGATATCAAAAACATAAAAAAAAAATATATATAAATAAATAAATAAAAGATATGAACGTTATGTGTTAATTATCCAATTATTAATTCAACTACATTAATTGTCCGTCCAACTATAAATGAAACACGCCCATTGCACGCATGTCTAAGTTACTAGTATTGTTGATATGTGATATCATTAAAAATCTCCATATATTTAGGGCATCTTCAATGTATTTCAATGATTGCAATTTAAGTGGCGTAGACTTTTGATTTATTCAAAATTAATATTTAATGAATATACGATTTAATTCAAATTTCATCTCCAATAACTTCCAAAAATATTTGACCTTTTTTTTTGCTATCTGTATTGTTTTTAAATACAGTCAGATGATATGTTATCGTAATCTATCAGGATATGAAAACAACATCTACATCATTTATATGAATAAACTCTCCTTGTTAATGGTCGATCGATTTGAGAAGATGAATTTCTAGAAAATACAAATTTATTGCAAAGAAAGTAAGAACATTGTCAAAAGCACAAATCTTTTACAAAGTAACGATAAATTATTGAACATGAACACCACAAGCAAGCCAAAGAGAACACACTAAAATTACACGAAACCCTTGAAAAACACGATTACCACTACATCGTGTCACACTGCGACACCCATTATTGACGCAATGAGAAAGAACTCTAATGTTCAGACTCAATTTTGCTGAGCAGAATGAGGAAGCTCAGGAAGTCCACCTTAATACACTTCCTCTTGTTGGCGATATGAAGAAAACAACTTTGTTCTGTTATCCCTGAAAAACATGACAGAGAAACAAAATTGAACGTATCAAAAGTCGTAGTATCGTGACAAAATAAAAATATTCGGGATACATACTCGTGCAAAATAATCCTTACATCATGAATTAAGATTGACTTTGGTTCAAAAACTCTTGTAACATGTTTTATATTTGGTAAACTTGGTTGGATATAACAACTAACAAAATAATTGGCACCATCTTCCTCAATTAAGGTTTGAGTTTGAGTTATGAATTTGCATGCAAGAATATTTTGGATTATTTTAAATTCACATCTAAACAAGGAAGAAACAGTATAGACCATAATAGGAACTAGAAAAAGCACACTAACCTCTTCAATACTAGTCTGGCTTCACGGTTCCTCGAGTATTTTATGTAGTCTCTCGGGAACATTTAATAATATAGAGTAGCATACAAACTTGTAAAGCTTTGGCATCCCTGTTTGATCCACAATCAACTCCGGAACTTTTCCAAATCCCTTAAAAATTGCCAACACTTGAAGCTCTGGAAAGCTGTTTTCTCCTGAGAAATCCAACGTGATCGACCCGGCAAATTCACAATTTTTCAAATTAAGGATCTCTAATTTGGGTAGTTCCTTTAGTACTTTCATTGGGTCCTCAGTAAATTTCAAATGATGAAGGGTAATTTTAGCAAGGTTTGGAGGGAATTCAATGGTTTCAAGCCTGAATGGAAAATTAGGTGTACCGCACAGATGCAACTTGGCAAGATGGTCATAGTGGGACAAGTTTAATCTCTTAAGCTCCTTATCGAATCCCAACCGCAAGTCTTCGAGCTTCTTCGATATGGGTGTTGTACCACATGTTACTTCAACATGTTGGTCATTTAACCAATCTATCCTCAGCTTTTTCAAGTTGGTGAGTTTTTTTAATGAGCTTGCTTTGAAAATGTTACCAGGGAACCCATCCAAAGTTTCTATATTCAGCAAATACACCTCATTTCCGACATACAAATTTGTGCACATGTTAGTCAGAGTCAAATATGAACGGCAGAAGAGTAAATGCTTCAAATACTTCATCCTGAAAATATTTCTTGGAAAAACACCAAAAGTCGCTCGTTTAATATCCAATGTCACCAATTTCTTGAGATTCATTATGCTTGAAGGCATCCTTTTAAAACTCCCACTCAACTTAATGTAAGTCAAGCTACTCAGGTTTCCTATCTCATTAGGAATCAAAGACAATTCTTCTCCTGAGTTACAGAAACAGAGCAGGGTATGAAGTTTTGGAGTTTCAGATTTTGAAAAAGAATATTGACTAGTGTCGTCAATGGTAAGTCTACGAAGGGTTGAAAAAGAATTAGAGCGTAGATTATGGAGTGTACAAAAGAAGTTTTTCTCCTTGGCCTTTTCTATGCAAAGAACATGTAGAAGATCATGAATGCGACAACTTTTTACTCTTCCATCCAAGTTTCTCTTAGAAACTTGGATTAAATTTCTGTCACTTAACATTTGCAATTTAGCAGCTCCAATATCATCAGGATTTCGAATTCCGTCAACCTGGATCCATTTCTCGGCAACCCAAGCCTTGACCAACTCAGACACAAAAATTTCTTGATCTTCTGGGAAGAGACCAAAGTAAAGCAAGAAAGGCCTAAAGTCTTGAGGTAAATCTTTGTAACTTAAGGACAAGATTTCTGAACAACTATTTTCAGCACTTGAGCTCAAGATATCAAGCACCTCATTCCATTTACATTTATCTCTTCTTCTCTGCCGCAACATACCTGCTGCAACAGTAGTTGCTAGTGGCAAGCCGCCACATCGTTTTACTATCTTCCTACCGATATCTTCCAGTTCCATTGGAGGAAATATCTCATTCGTATTTTCTGAAGAAGATTTGATCAGCTTGCAGAAGAGTTCCCAGCTCTTTTCTTCATCTAAGAGTTCCACTTTAATCAAAGAGCCTTCACCACCAATATATCTGCCCACATCAGTATACCGAGAAGTAATGATAACTCTGCTCTGATTTCTTGAGTTGATGGGGATAACCTTTTTTAACTCATCCCATGCTGTATTTGTCCAAATATCATCAAGAAAAATTAAGAACCTTTCTTCATTGAGCAGAGAATGCAAGTTTACCTCCAAATTTTCCTTCCACTTTTCCTCTTCAAGGCCAACTTGCTTTGCTATTTCAAGTAGAAGCTCTTGGACTCTAGGCTCATTTGAGACATAGACTAAAGCTGAAGAAGTAAAATCATTTTGCATTTCTTTATATATTTTTTTAACAACAGTAGTCTTGCCAACACCTGCATCCCCTACAACACATATCATTTTACACTCTGAGTTTGAGCTCGTCAATTTTTCCTCGAGTTCCTGCAATGTATCTTCACGACCAACAAATATTGAATCTGTGACATCTAAGAATTTTTTTCTTCGATCCCATACATCCTTATCTCCATTACCTGTTAAATTTTATGTTGCTCATATTTATAAGATATTTAGTTTAGTAATTATAACAAAATAAAGAAATAATTATTTGGATAATACCATAGAAGACACAATTACTTGAATAACTACCATAGAAGCTCTTTTATACTAATTGAACAAAGAGAAGTAGCCATCTCTCTATCTCTCCCTATAGAAGACCATGGAAGGCTATCAAATTAAAAGTGCAATTTAAAGATCTTGATATTTCACATCTTGGCCAAAAAAAACATAAAATTTCACTTACAGAGATTTATATTGATGTAAGTGAATAAAATTAACATTACCTTCATCCCTATCAGCATATACTTGACATCTTTCTCTAGCAGCTTCAATTTCTTGGGCCCGTCTCTTGATTTTCTCGATTTCCAGGGCAAAGGTATTGGCAGTGGCACCATAACATAGTATACAAGCAGCATGCTTAATGAATCGAACTGGCCCCTTTTTCTCGTGTGATGCAATCTCTGGAAGGTAAGTATCCAAAATTTCCTCGATGTCAAGTGCAAGATTTCTCATGTCAATTATCAAGTTAGCTACTTCGTGCCTTCCATCTTGCTTCGACTCGGCATCATTGAGACATGATTTGAAGTGTCTCATCTGCCTTTCAATCCATTCTATGTTCTCCTTCAAGTGATACAAGCGTGAGCCTGTTTCCACAATCAGATTGGCGCCTATCTCTACTGCTTGGTTAATGACTGCTGTAAATGCTGCTGCATCCGCCATCTGATCTTGTTTTCTTTCAAAGATAGTATGTGGAATTAACTTATCGATCAAATGAAACTCAAGCCTGTATTGAGAAGAGGGAGATGAGAATTTCTCATCTCCCTCTTCTCAATACAAGCTTGAGTCTCATTTGATTCATAAGTTAATTCCACATACTATCTTTTAAATAAAACAAGATTAGATGGCGGATGCAGCAGCATTTACAGCAGTCATTAACCAAGCAGTAGAGATAAGTGCCAATCTAATTGTGGATCAGTTTGAAGGAGGAAATGAATTTGAGAAAAAAAATAATACAGTAAGATTAAGCATGGAAGTCTTTCTTTAATGATTTAATTAAACAAATATTAATAAAATAAAGAAATAATATAGTAAGATTCCAAGTCCAATAAAGTCGAGATAGATAAAAAAAACAAATAATCTATCAACTTGACCTAGGTCTACTATCTTAAAAAATTCATTCAGAACACTAAATTTGAAATATTGTACCACTAATTGGCACAAGGAGTAGGGATGAACATTTTTTTTCCCGGAATCGATGGAACCGGAGCAGAATCAAGTAGAATCGATCGTTTTCTCCGGTTCATCTACTACATTGTTCAATTTTGGGATCGTACGTAGAAGAACTGGTCGATTTCGGTCCGATTCTTGGTACTTTATTGAAAACCAACAGTGAATTCGGTCCCCCAAATTTCTCTTTTTGCTTGCACCAAGATAATCTAAATCTTTAAACAATAAGTCCAAAATTATATCACATTAAAATTTCATCCATACGCTTCTTCTTCTTTCCTATAATGGGTAATCAAAATTAAAATCTAAATAATTTTATAAATACTTTACAAATTCATTGTTTTAATGCAACCCGATATAAAAATATGTATTTTTAGTTCAATATTTTTTAAGAATTCAATATTTTCATTGTTTTCAAAGTGATTGAGCATTAAGAATCAAGATCCTTGATGATTACTAAAGAATCAAAGATGATCAAGTCATTGTTATATGAATTTCCTCTACTACATTGGTTCGATTTCGGTTTTGTTCTATAGCCGGATATAAAATCAATGGTTCCATTTTTCATATTCCCATTGGTATTCAGTTCGATTTGGCTCTCTTTAAAAGCGAACCAAACCATATCGCTCCAACTCTTAACAAGGAGACAATAAACAAAATTTGATTATTTTACTGAATTTATAATTAATCTGTTCAACATATGCAGTGGGAACAATATGAACCCACTGGATGCCGTTTTCAGATAAAGACTTCATTTCCAGAAATAATTAATTGAGACATTAACAACCACAAGACTTGCATGTATAAGGACAAAAAGTGAAAATAATTGGAAATTCAGAAACAGAAATAAATAAAAGCAAATAATCCATCAACCTAACCTAAGATCTTTAATTAATCTTAACAAACTTGTTTGTCACGCCACATTTGAATTTATGCACCAATAATTTACAAATTGGAGACGGTATACAAAATTCGATATAATTGAAATATTAGTTTTGTCCAAACTGACGACGAGATAAGATAAGAGTACTACAATAAAAATAAAATATTAAGTAGGTAATGAATATTACCAATATTATCATTGCATTAAATAATAGTATTCCACTTGCAATTTTGAGAGAGAGAGAG